TGTGTCCCACTTATGTAGACGGTATTTAGCATCAATATTTCTGAAAAAAAAAATTAAAACATCTAACCTTGATAAAAGAGTGTGGGGAAGTTGAATATTGTCCACTATTGTCTTGTCTCGATTCCATTTAGAATCCACCGGATTCGCTGCAGCGAGGATGGAAGCTCTAGCATTGAGTTGACAAATAATTCCAGCTTTGGCAATGGACAGAGTCTGCTGCTCCATGACCTTGACAATATCAGAGTAAGAGAGGATACTGACTACATAGCACCCGTGCAATAGCGATGCATCTAATAGCACACGCCCCAAAAGCGACTCTATATGCCCACCTCATGAAGAACGCTTCTTGTTGCGTCGTTCATTTTATCGAACTCGTCAATGCAGCAGACGCCATTGTCACAAAGAACCAAAGCTCCTGTTTGAAGGACCATTTGATGTGTATCAGGATCTCGTGCTATCGAAGCGGTCAAGCCAACTGCAGATGAACCCTTAATGTTATCAATTTTGGATGGATTGCATTGGAAAGTCATTCATCGCTAATTACCTTCCCACTGGTGTACTGACTTCTCGGCAAAATGCGGTAAACGTACTGCAAAAGCTGAGACTTGGAAGTTCCAGGGTCTCCGCAAAGGAGGACGTTAATCTGAAAAAGTAAGTTAGTGATAAACAAACATTGAATCATTTGTCTAATTTTGTCATGCATGAAAACCTGTGGAGGTGGTGGAAGCGGAAATGTTATCGAGAAAAACAGAAACCCAGAAAAAAAGAGCCCCAGCAAGCGTAATTAAAATACTTGAAGATGAAATGAAAACCTACCTCACTCCTAAATTTCGTCTTGTGACTATTTTCATCATCTTTTGCAGTACCACCGAAAAGTAAGCACAAAATACCCTTCTTTACGTCATTGTGTTCATAGATTGAGGGAGCTGGAAGGTTGATGTGTTATATTATATGTGATAATCAGTGATATTTCAACATAAGAACAACAACTTCATTTGGCGTGGCTATGTAAATCTACAAAACCTCGTCTATTAGCAAGAACACAGCTAATCTTACCTATGGCGTGGCTGAGGGCTTCAACTATATCAGCTCGTTTCGATAGGTTTCGGATCTGCTCTATACGTTCATCAGTTAGCGATTCACTAAAAAATGAGGGTCTAGGCAAACCAAAATTCACAAATCACAATAAAGATTACCCATTATCTTGATGAAGACGAGAAGAGTCAGTTTTTCTGAAGTGCACCGCGTCGATGTTAGTACGATAAATAGCCATTAACTCTTCCTCACGAGGGTTAACCTGAAGTATTGCAGTCTTTGAGCAACTCTCCTCAACTTCCCGCACTACTACAATTTTTATAATTTATGACCTTAGTTCAGCAATCTGTGAAATAAATGTCAATTTCACAAACACGGCAGAAATATTCACCTTGACAGCATGAACACGGAAGATTCCAGTGAGTGTCACGCGGTCTCCCGGCTGCACTGATTCTACGAGATGGCCGTGAGCGTAAACGGTGATATTGTTAGGTGTCTGACCAGCTGGCATGTCATCTGAATAAAAGATAGGTCACGTCTAAATGAATTCAAAGAGTTTTGAAATTTTAGAAAAACAAAAGAAATCTGAAATCTCACTCTTCGGGAACATATTGAAACATTTGCGTGTTTCTCATCGATATTTCCTGCGGCAGCTTCCTCAAGACCTTGAATACATCAGACATGAGAAATTCTAGATTGAGCAGAAGCTATACTGCCTAACCCATCTGGTGTCCTCAGCAACTTACCCTTCATTCACTGAATGAGATAGACCAAAAAGGACCGTCACTAAGATCGCTAGTACTTCTACCCTGATAATCTGTCTGGGTGACAGCATTCCTACTTGAGAGTTTCTGTTTTTTTACGGACGGAGATGATAACATGACAAGTATTAGGACTGTCATAAGGCAGCATTTTTGAAGAACGCTTGAAAACAGTTATCAAGGTAGGAAACTGGATTACATGATGCTTCCGAAGTCATCTAAGGCGTGGACCTAGGATGCGTTAATGGTTTGGTCAGCGTACGCTCGTACGTTTCGAGCGTAAGCATCGATTAGGAATGTATTGATATCAATCTAGCGAGCACCAGCGTATGCCAGCGTACAGCAGCGTTTTCGCCTGCAGTTTTGCTCAAGCTCAGCTTGCCCGCGAAAACGCTGACGTTCGCTAATTCGACACCTACATTCTCCCAGTCGCCGAGTACGCTCAAAGCGCTGCTGCACGCCGACTCAAAGTATGACCTTATAGCCCTTCCTGTCCCCTTAACATACTTTCGCACGCATGCGCACATACAGAGACCTCGACGGTCGCTGACAGAAATCTTGCCTTGACGAATGTTAGAAGGTTTGCGCAAACAGTTCTTCTGCATTTTCTTTTGACACTTTCATGCTAGCAGGCGGAAAAACCCAGACTTTTCAATGGGACTGCTCCATCTTGGGAATCTTGAAGATACATGGAACTGCATCACTCTCATTCCAGTTACTCATGTAACTCACCAGGTGACTCCTGAAGCTTAATGATTTGCTTGTCTAGGAACCGCGAGCGGTTATGAATAAGCTGGAAGCACATAGGTGTTCGAGCAGTTGGTACACACTGATGGTTCTTCGATCCTGCAAAAACTTCCACAATTGTACAGCGACTAGCCAATTAATAGGCCATCAGTTTGAATAACCACAGGAGATTCTCAAAATATCCTATTTTCTGGGATGCAAGGCATACCCATGAATAGGGCGGATCTTCGCCTCAGATTCCGCGAACTTTTTCTTGCTTTTCTTTTGTGCTTTTTGTATTTGTCTCTATAACCTGAGGAAAAACTCGAACGGACCGGGTCAGGGTTGCGGTGGGCATGGCATGAGGGCAGGGAAGAGGATGTACAGAGCACATATGGCCTATGCTATGTCCCACCCACAGTGGCCGACAAGAAGCGTTGTCGCAAACAGGCCAAGCACTAACCATGTATTCCAACACAACGAAAGCAGGAAGGGGCTGGATCGGCCCGTCCGACGAAGGTGAGTCACACAGGGGAAGCGCAGGCCTCATCCGGCATGCGACTGCTTTCCAACGCTTGAAAACAACGAAGAAGTTTGAAAAGCAGCTGCTGTGCTTTGAAACATTTCTCAAGCGTTGGTGCGCGGGCCTCTGCATCATAGCCAATAAATGCCTTTGTCTTACACCCCCAGAAAATAGTCCAACTGAATGTAGAACGATGTTCTTTATCTTTCATAATTTTGGCCAATATAGTCACCTTTTGTTCCATTCCAAAGAAGGCAACGTACCTTCCACTGTCCGCTTCACTCTCCACCGAAAACTTGCAAATAGAGCACTGGAAGAAACCAGCTTTCATTTCTGGGATCAATGTTGACGTGCGAGTTACCATACCAGTAATTGTGATCAACTGATCAATATCTGAACGGTCGACGTGTTGCAACAACAGCGAAAGAAAGAAGAAAGAGCTGCATAAGCTTGACTCCTGAACAACTGAAGAGAACTTACCACATGGATTCAGACTACGCATATTTCTTGTCTTATCGGCGTTGAACGGACGTAGCTCAATGGGGGTAGCCAGAGCGCGGTTGTACTTCTCTTGGTAAATTTCGTTCACAGTCATATCCAGATAAGGGATCACATCCTGCAAATCTGATATAATCCTCCAGAGTAACTCGCCTTTCAGTAAGTCAATAATTTACCGCTGGATAAGCAACGATCTTCCTGTAAAGCGGCTCAGAAAATGCTTTGACATGAGCAAGGTTCAAGTTGAGATACGGACAGTCGGTTTGGTCAATTTCAAAGAGACGCTCCATGTAGTACGGGATTGAGGTATCGACTACTTGCCGCTGAAATTTTTAGTTTACAGTTATACGTAGCAATAACGTGAAATGTGCAGTTTTCCTACCGTGGATGGTAGCATCAACATGTTCTCATCTTCGTCCAATGTAGATACCTTGAACTCAGTTATAAAAGCGCGGAATATCCTGAGATCGCCTGGGTTTCTGCAATCTCTCGACTGTTTGATGGGCCAGCCTCCAAAATCCCCTTAAAATCCTCGTAAGATATTGCTTTAAGTCGACCGCTATGAGGTTCATCTTCAAAGCTGAAATCTCCAGAACGAAATTTGTTGAACAATTGTCGCACAGTGCTTTCTCTAGCACTATTGGGCCCCCACACCTGGTTGATTTGTTGAGCTGTTTCGATTGCGGATTGCCCCAATTTATAGCATAGTTAGAAGAAAAAATCGTCCGAAGTAGCTTTTCACATGCTTGAAAAAATCTTGAAAAAAGGGAGTTCATCAAGCAATAGTGAAACGGCAGTTATACCATCAGATAGCGCAAAGAATTCTTTTCAGGATGTACTAGTGAGACGGAAGGGATAGTTTTAATGCAGGCAAATGAAGTTCAATAAAAAGTTTTGGTAGGATGACTGATCGGTCGTGAAAGGGGGTCTTAATGGAGGAAGAGAGATTTGGGATCGTACTTAGCAAAAATTGTCCGCACCCCAAGTACGTGTCCTGTTCGCATTCTCTGTATACAAATAGGCATTCTTGCGAGAGCATATAGAAAAGCGCGTGGGAAAAACTTTACATTCTATTCCGGGACTGTCCAGCAGATCTCTAAGATTTGTAGGGTAGACCTGAAACTAGCACTCTAATTCCAGTAATAGGAGCATGTCACAAGTCGTAGCGCCGGCTTTGGATAGCGAACAACCTGCTCGCGACCACTGAGAATAATGACGCGAGGTAAGGCGGGAGTTCAAAAATTTGCGGGAAACGAAAGCGTTTTATTATGGAAATGGGATGGTAGCTCATTTCCTTTTCTCTTGTGGGTATTGAATTACTTTATTGCTTCTTTATTATATGGTAACATGTCTCGCATAATATTCAAACTGAAGTACTCTCTCTTGATTCTAGATTAGTTCTGCACAGTCCCTTGCATTTTTCCCAAGATCTCAAAATGATTTTCTGTGTTGCAGCGAGTGGTAACTGTTTGAAAGATGTCGAGCACTGGTCGTCGAACTCCTTCAAGACGTCAGGGATCAAGTCAAGCATCCGCTCGATGTTGGTTGATTTAACTCGCTCCTCTATCAGTATTACCAATCAGTAACCCTGAGAGAAGTTGAGCAAAGTCCCTGACGGCCTTCTGTTTCAGACGAAAATCAGCACAGGTACACGGACGGCCTGATCTGCCGTTCACTTCCTCAGAGTGCAGGCCTGGAATGGCGGCAAGTGAATAGATGCTCCGACTCCCATCTGCACGTATGGGGTTTCCTTACAAACACAGTCATACGTTGGAATCATCGTAGTTTTTACAAAGACGTTTAGTCTTGGGGTAGGAGGTACAGGAGAGCGCTATGTTTTACTTCTTTTCTCGCAGTCGCAGGCTTCACCGTATATAATTGGGGGAAGCGGGGTAGGGATGGAGGCATGGCTTGGATCGCAGCCAAGGCAGATTTCCCTCCAGTTGTAGCGAGTCAGGATGGTAGCTTTGTTGGAATAGGGCCGCTGGCTGCGTTTCGATATACGCCGTCGGGTCTCGCTTTACGCGTTTTGTAAGGATATACTGTAGCTGCCCTGGAGGGAGAAGGCTGTACTCTGCCTTCGTTTGCTGAGGCAGCGTTTAGACTTCGCGATGACACGCTCGACGCGCTGTACCACACTGCTAGTGCAACAGCGTTCCAATTCTATAGATACGGGCCGCAAACCAAGTCTCATAGATGGAAAGTATTGATATCGATCAGCACCGACTAGCGGCCAGGTCACCGATCGTACTATGGGCTGCGTGGCTTAGGAAAGCGCACCTCCACTTTCCTTCCCATACGCTATCAATACACAACGGCGCCGCATTGAATTTCCCTTCTGCGGCCTGCGTTGTGTCTAGAGGACTGAGCGGCTGGCTTGCCAGTTGTGATCGCAAAGTCTGGCTGCCTTACATAGTTTCCCATAGCCGGTGCGATTTGTTCAGTGCATCTTTAAAGACATCTCGATTGCATATTGTGCATTGTGACATTGAGTCACGAGGCTATAGTCGTTCATTGACTCTTCAAGGAAAAATAAAACCTATAGTCGTTCATCTCTTCAAGGAAAAATAAAAGCCGGAAAATCAGAATCACAAGGACATCCTAAGTAAGGACCTTCTGGAACCCTTGATCTGCTGCAGATTCCCGGGCTAGTGGCGGCATACCGTGGTATTGTACCAGCAAAGTGATACCCTGCCGCATCTGGCTCACTAATACACATACAATGCTTCCTTTAATCGAACAGTGCTTCCTTTGAGCAACCGACGTGTAAAAGAAGTGAAACCACTGTGTAAAAACTGCTCTCGTAACAGAAAGTAGCCTCTGTGTTTTGGCGGGCGGCACAACCAGAGAGGCACCAGAACTGCCACTTCTGAGGGCAGCAGCGCCTCCGTTACTCTATGTGAAACCGCGTGAGAAGGTCACCTCTGTGTGGAGCCGCATAAAAATGACAATCTCAGAGTTATGGGCCAGATTAGTTGAACAAGGAAGGACGCCTAGGAACTGCTTGAGAACGAGAACTGTCTTTGGGACTACGTTAGGTTCTCACCCGATGATCATCCACCTCATAAAGGTGCATCCCGTGTCTTTTCATATGTGCAGCTCGAGACATCCGAGATGCTGTATCCGGTACAGGAAAACACTTTTTAGCTGGTTGCTTCAACACGCTACAGCAATCACGTTTAGTCAAGTAAATCCGTTGCTGCATATTTCACCCTGTTCCCAACGCACCTTCAACCGTCTTCGACGCGCCTAGGGTGCGCTTTACTGCACGGGAGACGGACAAGATTATCGTGAATAGCCGCACCATCGCGCGCAAGGCACTGCCTGGCATTGAGCGTTGGAAATTCTCAGTATGGGCTTCACGTGGCGTGGGCGCGGGAAGTTCTCACTGTGCGTCAGTTTCTATGTGTTCTTGGCCATTTCCTGCCCTGTTCTGTGTCTATCACTGTTTACCATGGAGTCAGAAGAGCTGACACGCTCCAGTACCCTTTCACGTCCCTTTAATATCAAGTTTGAACGACTAAGTGGGAGACTCGTTTAGCGCGCGGCGGCCAATCGGCTCGCCCGCCTACAGCGCGGAAAATTAGCGATTTTTTGTGCAATACAAACTAGTGATGTGTTTGTTTCTTTGTGCTTTTGTTGGTACGTAGTTCCACAATTACAAGAACCGAAAGCGATGCCGGCTTAAAATATACAATGGGAAACAACGCAGTCAAGTATCTAGTTTTGCATCATTGTATGGCAGAGGGCATTCGTCCTCGAAACAGCTGGCGAAGTTATTTCCATATTCGCGTGAGCAGAGGCGAAACTGCGGTATTCTCTAGCCGCAGTTTCGCCCCTATTTACATCTTATTGTTGAGCGGTCATGCTGTGTGATGTGTCTGTTCGTATTACTTGCAGTTTCCTGTTCAAATTCCTTGAAAAGAACGTACACTCCCGAAAGTAGAATTTTTTGTAGAGTGTTAAATTTAGCTACTTTGGTTGGTTCAGTTGTTACATCGCTTCGCTATGGTTCTGAATTGGGTATGTCCTCGCAAGGCTCCACGGCGCTGTCCTCA